GAAACAAGGAACGCTAAATAAGGAGCGAAGCAATGCAACTGGCGGGCCTGGAAACCGCACATCCTGGCGCGTTCGCGCGCTTGACATTTCTCAGCCATACGATGTGCAGGATCCATAACTAGTTTGCCTAGCACGCTTCCTGAATCTAACCCTCCTGGAGCGCAGAAATGAAAGCGTGCGACCATGTGCGCGCCAAAATAATGGACTCCGCCCTTGTCGCGTCGACTCACCTACTTGATTGCGCCTCTATGCCCGCCATATCCGGAAAGAGAGAGAGAGAGAGAGATAGACGCAATCAGTGTGCACGTCCCTCCGACATACTTACAATGTTGCACTTGGGCTTTGAAATGTTGGTGACTCCTCTGACGGGTAGTGCTTCAAGTTTCTCGCAATACAGTAGGGGCCCGACCACAAGAAACCCTCCACGAGAAACCCAATCCCGAGACCCCAGAACGTCCATCGATTTTTGGTGTGGGAACGTCACGCTTTCTATGGCAGAACCATCGGAACCCAAGACACCCAGGGCACGCAGGAGGCAAGCAGGGTGTTTCTTGGCATGGGCCCCCACTGTGCTTGAAAATCGTAGCTTGAGCCTGCCATCTTCATCGCGTGCTCGTGAAAAGGCAGCGTGGCCTGCACTGGCAATCGTGGTGAGTGTCATCCGCGCAGACGAGCTCCTCCGAGTCCGCTGCACGCTGGCCACATGCTGCCCCTGCGCCTGCCATGAAACCTGCCGTGCCCATGCCGGCCGGACCGGGAAGATGGTGTCCGTCGTGCCGTGCGTTGGTGTGCATCCGAGGCGCGCGTGCCGAATCCCTCATTCAGCCCCTGCCTGCATCAAGCACTGCATAGTGGTTGTGGAGCAGAGTTTCTGTCCAACTTGCAGTAGACAAGTTGGCCGACAACCGCCGTGCGGGCGCGGCCGCAAGAACCTCTATCGCAAGACGCTCAACCCTGAAAACCCGCGCGCGAGCTGCACCTGAGGAGACACCCAGAGCACCCTGAACGCAGCAGCTTCTTCCACGGCTGCGGGAAGTCACCGCGCAGCTCGCGGAGCGAAGAAACCCAGGATGCCCTGACGGACAGCATCGGTTTCTCGATGCGCGCCCCCACTGTATGACACTTTTCGTGTTAGGTCGGGCATGTCCCCCTACAGGCGGATTCTGGACGAAAAATGAAAAACAAAGGTCAAACACTATTAGAAAGATTGTAAAACATATCGTCCTCCAGAGTATTTGTTAGACTATTTTTGGATACTCCTCCTGTAGATGACGGCCGATGAGAGAAGGAGGAGGAGGAGGAGGAGGAGGAGGAGGAGGAGGAGGAGGAGGAGGAGGAAGAGGATGATGATGAAGATGCTGATGATGATGATGAGGAGGAGGAGGAGGATGTGGTGGAGGAGGAGACGGAGGAGAAGGAGGAGGAGGAGAAGGAGGAGGAGGAGGAGCAGGAGGAGCAGGAGGAGGAGGAGAGGAGATGACAGGCCCCTCTTAATTTTCGCGCGATGACGGCCGCGGGGAGAAGCTCCGGCCGCGCGTCGGGCACCTGCCCGTCGGCCCCGCACCTCGCGCAATGAGGGCCGCCGCCCGCTCGAGCGCGCGACCGCACCGTCGCGCGTGCACGGCACACGCTGAGGGCCTCCTCCCCCTCCTCCTCCTCCTCCTCCTCCTCCTCCTCCTTGTCCTCCTCTCTCCGCCGCCCTCCGCCTCCCCATCCGGCGGCGGCGTCGGCACGGCCGCGGGTGCGGGCGCCGCGCCGGGCGCGGGCGCCCGCTTCCACCAAGTTCGGAAGCCGGGCGAGGGCTGGCAACTCCGTGGCTGCTGAAACGGTGTTCCCGGAAGATAACAAACGGGCTCCCGGAATGAAGCTCAGCGCACGAAGAAATAAACGGGCTGCTCCGCGGAAGGAGAAGACAATTTCCGGGAGCTCCGTTTCAGCAGCCACGGGTCTGCCAGCCTTCGCCTGGCCTCTGACAAAGGCCGAGGCCTGGGGAGTCGCTCCCGCCCACCCCACCTCTCCCGCAAACTCCGCCCGCCCTTCCCAGACCCCTGACGCCGTGATTTTTTCACGGCGTCGACCCCAGAGGTCTTGACCCCTTCCCCGGGAACAAATTTTCATCCCGGCCCCCAGAGGCCGAAAATTTGGAAAAACGTCGCGTCGCGATTTTTTCACAACGCGAGGAGGTCTGGGTTCCTTCTCCCACGCGTCCCTCCCGCACCGTTTTGCCCCGTTGGCGAGCTGCGCAGCATCCTCGCGGCAGCAGTGGAGAGGCAGAGGCCCAGCCGATGCGCGCCCGGAGGCCTTGGCGAGGCGAGAGATGCGGCGTCCTACCGATGCTGCCACGAGGCGCAGGACGACGCCAGGCACACACCGAGCTCCGTCGAGACCGCAGCGACCACATACTCCTCCTCCTCCTCGTCGTCCTCCTTGTCCTCGTCCTGATCCTCGTCCTCCTCCTCATCCTCCGTACGTGTGATAGCCTCCTCCTCCTCCTCCTGATGCTCAGTCTTCTTCGGGATCCATGCGCCCCTCGAGTCATCGAAATCGTACATCATCGGGCGTCCCTGAAGACACCACACCATCTCAAGACATCCTCCGACATCTCGCAACCGAAAGGGTTAAGCAGCAATGCCTGGTAAGGTAGTTAGTGTGCCTGGTCCTGCCGCGTTCCTCGGTGCTCGCTCCAGCCTCCGTCGGATAGCTCCTTCTCCCTCCTCCTCTTCCTCCTCCAACTCCTCCTCGTATCGGCGGCGTGCCTGGGGGGAAATGAGAAGGAGAAAGCCTACTCAGAAGGCGGCGGGGCTTCTCAGAAGCTCTCCAGCCTTCCGAGAAGTTCTCTGTGTCTTCGGGGACGTCTTCGAACACTTATCAGAAGGCCCGAGGCCTCCCGAGCCTTCTGACAAGGCCCGCCCCCTCTGACTTCCCCCTGGGATCGCCGCCGATCTTGGGTCCTCCTCCCCTTCCTCAATCTCTCACCTCCTCCTCTAGAAAAACAAAACAACTATAAGCTTCAGCTTCTGGCGCTCCGCGCGGATTTCTTGGATCTGCGCTGGACCCCCCTCCCTGGCGCGCCAGGGGCGGCGCTGGAGGCGCCGCTGGGGGGACCCAGCGCAGATCCAAGAAATCCGCGCGGAGCGCCAAAAGTTTATATCTATGGCGCTTTCTCTTCTTCGAACCTCCTCCTCCTCCTCCTCCTCCTCCTCCATCTCCCTCCACCCTCTTCCTCCTTCGCCTCCTCCTCTTCCGCCTCCTCCCCCTCTCCTCCCCCTCCCTTCTTCCTCCTCCTCCTCCTCCTCTTCCTCCACCTGCCCCTCCTCTCCTCCTCCTCCTCCTCCTCCTCCTCCTCCTCCTCCTCCTCCTCCTCCCCGTCCCCCTCCTCCTCCTCCTCCTCCTCCGCCTCCTCCTCCTCCTCCTCCTCCTCGCTCGCTCCGCTGCTGGCGCCGCCGGGCTCGCCGCCCTCGTCCGTGCGCCGGCCCGCAGGCGCTGGAACTCCTCCTGGAGGGTCGCGCGGGGCGGGGCGGCCACTGGCACCGCAGGGTGGAGGTGGGACTCCAGGCGTGCTCGCGTGGTGACAGAAAATCCACCAGCCCTTCTCGGCGGCGAGCGAGGGGGGGGCGTGAGAAGGAGCAGGCCCTCTCAGAAGGCGGCGGGACTTCTCAGAAGTCCTTGCGCCTTCTGGCACGTTTCTTCTGTCTTCCGGGAAGGCTTAGAAAACTTCTCAGAAGGCCGGGGGACTTCCGAGCCTTCTGAGAAGGCCTTCTCCTTCTCACTTCCCCCCTCGCTCGCCGCCGACCCTTCGGCGTGTGTGCGACTTTTGTTTGGTTGGTACACTTTTCCAGCTGCCCACACATCCGCAACATCAAACGTGAGTGTCGTGACGAGGGCCTCCGAGGAGACCCACAAGAGTGAGAAAACGGAGGAAGGATAATTAGCGGCACGTGTGGGAGCGTTCTCCTCCTCTGAGACCCAACAAGAGATCCGCGCGGACCGTCGACAGTTTTTCATATATATATATATATATAGTGTATATACATACACACATATACACGTACGTACATACATACAGACATACAGACATACATGCATACACTTACACACATACATACATACATACATACATACATACAGACAGACAGGCAGGCAGGCAGACAGACAGACAGACAGACAGACATACACACATTCACACATACACATACACACAAACACACAAACACACATACAAACATACATACATTACATTATATTATATGATATTATATTCTATTCTATTATATTAATTATATTACATTCCATTCGCTTACATTACACTACACTACACTACACAACAATACATCACATCACATTACATTACATTACATTACATTGCATTGCATTGTATTAGAATGCATTACACTACACTACATTACATTACATTACACTGCACTACACTACACTACACTACATTACATTACATTACATTACATTACATTACATTCGATTACATTACATTACATTACATTACATTACATTATATCCATTACATTACATTCCGTTACATTACATTACATTACATCGCATCACATTACATCGCATCACATCACATTGCATTGCATGGCATACATACATATATATATATATATACACATAAATATACATCTGTATATATACACATATGTCATAACAAACTCTCGGCCTTTTGAGGGGGGCCTTGCTGGGCCCCGGGGCCGTCAACAAAAACAACTCAGGGTGAGAGGCCGGCCCTGGGGAGTGGGCCGAGACTTCCAAGGGCCGCGCAGGGACACACCCACGACATCGCACGTCTGGGATCGGGTGGCGTCACCCGACCACCCCTCGGCGGCGAGCGAGGGGGGCACTGTGAAAGGAAGGGTCGAGACTTCCCAGGGCCGCGCAGGGACACACCCACGGCATCGCACGTCTGGGATCGGGTGGCGTCACCCGACCACCCCTCGGCGGCGAGCGAGGGGGGCACTGTGAAAGGAAGGAGGCCTCCTCAGAAGGCGGCGGGCTTCTCAGAAGCCCTCGCGCAGCCCAAGAAGTCTTCCTGTGTCTTCGGGGGAGACTTACGAAACCGTCTCACAATATGAGACAAACTGTATACACATAATTTTTTCGACGGTCCACGCGGATTTCTTGGGTCTGCGCTGTACCCCCCTTCATGGCGCGCTCCGCGCGCCAGGGGCGGCGCCGGAGGCGCCGCCAGTGGGGATCAGGCGCGAATCCAAGAAATCCGCGCGGAGCGCCGACTGTTTATGTTATGCTCTTTTCTTCTTCGGCAGAAGTCCAGGTGACTCCCGAGCCTTCTGAGAAGGCCCGCCCCTTCTCACCTCCCCCCTGGGCGCGCCGCTGAATATCAATCAGAATTGGTCCCCGGACCCTCCTGGGGTCCATCCGACGCGGTTTTTCACACTGGATCGAGTTTCGGAGGTCCTGGGGCCATAAAGCGGCCCGCATAGGCCCGAAAACGATGAAAAACCTCGAGCCTCGAAGTTCGAACCTCGCTCGCCGCCGAACCTCGCCGATCCTGGCCAGGGAACTCCTGGGGGGGCTCCAAGATCGGTGCTGGGTCGCGGGGTGGGTCGCGGGGTGGGGGTCGCGGGGTCGCTGGTGGGTCGCGAATGGGTCGCGGGGTGGGTAGCGGGTGGGTCGCGGGTGGGTCGCGGGTGGGTCGCGGGTGGGTCGCGGGGTGGGTCGGGGGTCGCGGGGGGTGGATCGCGGGGTGGTCGTGGGTGGGACGATGACAACAAAACAAAACAAAGCAACACACAACACAAACAAGCCAAACCAAACCAAGCCAAATCAACACAACACAATACAACACAACACAACACCACACCCCCACCACCCCCCACCACCCCCACCCCCACCCCCCACCCCCACCCCCACACACCACCCCCCGACCCCACCACGACCACCACCACGACCACCACACGACCACCACCACGACCACCACCACGACCACACCACCACCACCAAACGACCACCACCACGACCACCACCACGACACGACCACGACCACCAGACCACGACCACGACCACGACCACCACCACTACACCACCACCACCACCACCGCCACCACCACCACCACCACCAACACAACCAACACAACATCAACAACAACAACAACAACAACAACAACACCAACACCAACACCACCACCAACACCAACACCAGCAACAACACCAACAGCAACAATGATTTTAATACTGTTCGCTCTGATCTGATCGGGTGTCATTCAACGCGTATTTCCCAAGCCCTCGGTACCCGCCCTCTTCGTCTTCGATCGTGCCCCTTTTGGGAGGTCTATTTTTTTTCCCTGCAAGCCGGGCCCCGACAAACGGCGGGGCAGCCGCGGACCGCCGGCCTGGCCAGCGGCAGCGCTGATCGGCGGCAACCAGACCCCAAGAGGGACGGACAGGGGACCGACCACGACGACGACGACGACGACGACGACGACGAGCGAAAGCGAGAGCGGGGTCACGAAGGGCAGGCAGGGGGCCACGAAGGGCGACACCGGGGCCACGAAGGGCATGCGTATGGGGCCACGACGGGCGCGAACGAGCGGGGGCCACGACGGGCAGATAATTCGGGGCCACAGAGGGCGACGATGGGACCACTGAGGGTAGCCACGGGGCCACGTAGGACAGCGAGGGGTCCACAAAGGGCGACAATGGGGCCACGAAGGGCATGCATATGGGGCCACGACGGGCGCGAACGAGCGGGGGCCACGAAGGGCATACATCTATGAGGCCACGAAAGGCAGCGAGGGGCCACGAAGGGCTGCAACGGGGCCACGAAGGGTAGCGAGGGGGCCACGAAAGGGCTGCAACGGGACAGCGAAGGCGAGGGGGCCACGAAGGGCTGCAACGGGTCCACGAAGGGCAGAGAGGGGGCCACGAAGGGCTGCGACGGGGCCACGCAGGGCAGCGAGGGGGCCACGAAGGGCTGCAACGGGGCCACGAATGGCAGCGAGGGGGCCACGAAAGGGCTGCAACGGGGTCGCGATGGGGAGAGAGGGGGCCATGAAAGGCTGCAACGGGGCCAAGACGGGCAGCGAGGGGGTCACGAAGGGCTGCAACGGGGCCACGAAAGGCAACAACGGAGCCACGAACGGCTGCAACGGGGCCACGACGGGCAGCGAAGGGGCCACGAAGGGCTGCAACGGGGCCACGAAGGGCAGCGAGATCCGGATTCTGGCGTAAGCTGTGAGGGAGCCCTAAGCGTGAGCGCGTTTCCTGGGTGCCTGAGTGTCGGGACCGCGGCAATTGAGTAAATGGCGGGGAATTCCAACGCTCAAGCGCGATTCTTGAGTAAATTGCAAGCGAGTCTCCAGCGAAAGCGCGACTCCAGAGCGCCGAGAGAGCTATTCATGAATACATGTCAAGGAAGTCCCAAGCGAGAGCGCGATTCCTGAGTAACATGCGAGCAAGTCTCAGGCGGGAGCGGGGGTTATGCCTAACTTGTGAAGACATCTCAAGCGGGAGCCGTTGCTGTGGTAACCCGGGGGCCAGGGGCACAATTTGATCCTAGTGACTTCCCCTGATGAGAAACAGGGTGCGAGACCCGGGGGAAGCACTTCAATTGAAAAGCACAATGGTCACCAGAGGGGGGATCAACAATACGTACTCTTTCAATAGTGAGAGTTCAACAACACCACCACAACACCAACAACACCAACAACAACAGTAATCCGTACCGCGGGAACCCACTTCAGCAACGCACCAAGAAACACTGTAAGACCGTTCGGCCCCCTCACTCTAATAATGTGTATATACTTGTAGAAGAGGGGACAGAAGGGGAGGAAAGGCGGGAAGGATGAACGTAAAAGGGGGGGAACGGGAACCTTTGGAGGTCATCGGTAATAGATCCCCGATCCTAGATTATCCTGTTTCCTCGTACTCCCTCCTGGATGGGCTACTCCTGGGGGAAGTAGGAGGCCTCGGGTCCTGCAAAACATATAGGGCTAGTACGCGCCATTCCTGGATGGGCGATCATCGCACCCATCCTGTAAGGCTGGCAGTCAGTGGGGTATGCACAATGGGAGCCCTGCTTCGACCCATTTCAGCATTTGGAGACGAGCTCACGCCTTATATAACGAATGCGAACGGCCTCCCACCTTTGAGCGGATCCCGTCCCACAAATCGGCCGAAACAGTCCTTGCGGACCCGTCGGCCTGTTTCCTGAACTGTGTGGGAAACAGTTGGGCGGATCTTTTCGCGAAGTGGGGGGCGCGTCACCATGAGGTGGCCGAGATTCTGGCTGATTTTCACAAGCGCAAGCTGCAGGACGCCAGAACCTCTGCCGAGGTCTTTGCTTGGATGGGCCAGGCGGTGGCCCAGAAGGCTTCCCAGCTCTGCCCTAGGTCCTTTGAACCTCGTAGCGCCCCTGCTGTGAAGAGCGTGCCCGACTCTCTTGTTGTCACCGCTCATGACATGTAGATTTGCAAGCGCACGGGGGAGCACAATTGCGCTCGTTGCAATCACCTTGCTCGCGCGCGTTCTTCGTCGTACGCCCTCATGCCCACTGGGTGTGCGCCCGCTGACATCAAGTAAGGGGCTGCCGCTCGACCTGTCCCCCGAATCCTTCGAGCCGCTCAGGGCGACGCCAGGCCTCGATGAGGTCCTGGCTGGTGAGGGCCTCGATCCCCTCCCCTTTCCTTCTTCGTTGGGCGATGGGGAGGGGGCGGCCGGGCGGAGATTGGAAACTTTCCGTGCGCTCGGCCAGGAGGCTGAACGCCACGGGCGTGTCCTCATATTCTTGGAGTGCGGAGCCTTCATCGTGGATCGAGGCCTCAAGTCCAAGCTGTCCCAGGGGTGTGTTGGCCGCTCTCGTGTGGCGTCCACTTTGGCCAACGAGGAGGCCCACATTTCTCTGACCTTGAGAGGGCTGCACCCGCGCACCCCCAAGGGCGCGTGATAACAGTGCTGTGAGGCCGCCGCCGTCGTTGTCGCTTTCGGTGCGCGAGGGCGCGTTGGCCTCCTCCTCTTCCTTTCCCCTGGACCGTGCTAGGAATCAGGACGGCCGGGAAAGCGGAGCGGCGGGCAGCAGCGCGGCGACGGCGTCGGCGTTGTCGTCGGCCACCTTGCCGCCTCCGCCGCCCCCGCCTGCTGGGCGAGCTCGTGGCCGCAGTCGTGGCCGTCGAGGCCGGAGCGTGTGCGCCCTTCCCTGATTTCGGCTCGTTTCGGTCCCCCCTTTTCCTCTTTGGGCGCTACCGTGACTCGGTCGCGCTCAGTGCTGCGCCCCTCTTGCTCCTCCTCCTCCTCTTCTTCCTCAACCTCCTCCTCCTTTTCCTCCTTTTCTCCTCCCCCCTCCTCTTGCTGCTGCTGCTGCTGCTCCTCCTCCTGCTCCTGCTCCTGCTCCTCCTCCTCCGCCTCCTCCTCCTCCTCTTCCATCCTCCCTTCTCCTCCCACCCTCCCCCTGTATATCATTATCTTCCCCCTGCTTCCTTCTCGCCCGGCCTCTCGCTTTCCCCCCCTCCATATCCTCCTCTCTCCACATCCTCCTCTCTCCTCCTCCTCCTCCTCCTCCTCCTCCTCCTCCTCCTCCTCCTCCTCCTCCTCCCCTCCTCCAACTCCTCCTCCTCCTCCTCCTGCTCCTCCTGCTCCTCCTGCTCCGCCTCCTCCTCCTCCTCCTCCTCTTCCTCCTCCTCCCCCTCCCCCTCCCCCTCCTCATCCTCACTTTGGCGTTGGGCGAACTCTAGGTGCGTGGCCTGTAGCGTTCGTGCGGGAAAAAATGACTTACCAAACTGTCGCATACACACATCATGCTGACGGCACGGGAACCATCAGCACCAGGAGGACCGCCACCATGAGCACGATCCTGACGGCGTTTCCTCCTCCTCCTCCTCTTCCGCCTCCTCCCCCTCCTGTTCCTCCTGCTCCTCCTGCTCCTCGTCCTCCTCCTCTTCCTCCTCCTCCTCCTGCACCTCCTGCTCCTCTTGCTTCTCCTGCTCCGCCTTCTCCTCCTCCTCCTCGTCCTCCTCCGCCTTCTCCCCCTCCTCCTTCCCCTCCCCCTCCCCCTCCCCCCTCCTCCTCCTCCTCTTCCTCCTCCTCCTCCTCCTCCTCTTCCTCCTCCTCCTCCTCCCTTCATTTTCCTTATGAATAATTTCCCCCTGTCGCACCCCGAGGCCAGTTTTAGGGCGGGCCGGGCGTTTCGCAAGAGACGTCCTCACCATTTCTGAATGTGCGAAGCGAAGCGAAGCCCGCGTACAAGAGTCCACGTGAGGGGACTAGGCGGGGTGGGGGCCGGAGCGCCCCAGGAAGCATTACAGATGCATTGTCGTGAAAAGCTGTAAACAATTCAAGGCCTGGCAAACGACAGGAATCCAGCCTCACGGCGCTCCCACTCAGCAGTTGGAACGATACTGAACCATTCCGGATTGTTCACGTACTCCACGATGGCTTGTCGGCGATGGAGGGCGGGTTGTTTTCAACATGTGGCTCTCGCCTCAGCGCGGCGCACATTCTTTTAAACATTTGTAAAAGTTTCACGGATTGAGGGCGGGCCGTTCTTAATGTGTGGTTCTCGCCTCACCGCGGCGCACATTCGTTTACACATTCTGCAAGGGTTTCACGGATTGAAGGCGGGTCGTTTTCAACGTGCGGTTCTCCCTTGAGCGCGGCGCACATTTGTTTACACAATTTACAAAGAGGTTCACGGATTGAGGGCGGGTCGTTTTCAATATGTGCCTCTCGCCTCAGCGCGGCGCATACTCGTTTTAAACATTTACAAGAGTTTCACGGATTGAGGGCGGGCCGTTTTGAATATGTGGTTCTCGCCTTAGTGCGGCGCACATCCGATTACAAAACTTGCAAGAATTTCACGGGTTGAGGGCGGGTCGTTTTCGAAATGTGGGTCTCGCCTTAGCGCGGCGCACATTCGTTTACAATATTTGCAAGAGTTTCACATATTCCCATCATCAACGTACCAGACATCATGTATTTGGAAGGACTCAAGATTTGGAGGGTTCGACACTTACGCTGACTCGCTGTTGATGTCCCAACAATGGCGTTCCGGCACGATTCAGGATCGTCAACACGCAACAGTCCGGTTGATCCGTGGCGTTTGAATCCCGCGAACAATGTTTTGGCATGCTTCAGGGCCTTCAAACGGTTGTTTTCCAACGAGGCAGTTCCCCTAACGGAAATGAACCGTTGTAGGGGCCTGTGAAGAGGGAGCTTGGAGGGAGGGTTTATTCCAACATCGTTGATGACGCTTGGGTTTACACTGGTCCTCCTCCTCCTCCTTTTCTTCCGCCTTCGCCTCCGCCTCCCTCCTTCTGGAGGGGGCCGGCGGGGCCGCGGGGCGCGCGCGCGCGAGCCTTCAGCGCCCCCGCGCCCTCCGAGGGCCGCGGCGCGGCCCCCGCGGGAGCCGTCGGCCCGAGGCTGCCCGCCGCGTAGGCCGCCTCGCGGGCCGTGCGCGGGTAGGAGGCCGATGAGGGCTCGGGGCGGGCAAGATTGAAGCTCCCAGCCACCCGTTTCCGCCACCAACTGCCGTTCCCACTTGACTTGACGCCACCCCGTCCCGCCCATCCCCCTCCTCCCTTCTCGTTCAGCTAAGTCGCCGTGTCGTCTCCGCCATTCTGGCACCCCCGCCCCCCCCTCCCCCCCCTGCCTCACCCTTCGCCCTGGGGCCGTCGGGGGACGTAGTCACCTCGCCCCTGGGGGGTGGGGTCCCTCTGGTGCTGCTTCCTTGGCCTCTGCTTCATCCTACAAGCTCTCTTTGATCACCCCCCCTGGGCGGCCGCCCCACGGGGGGGCTTGGGGGCTTGGGGATTCGGGATTCAGATGCCAGCAGCGACGGCCGCATGATGAGGAAGACGTGGTGGTGGAGGAGGGGGAGGAGGAGCGGGAGGGGATCTCCTCAAGGTCCAGCAGGGAGTCCGGAGGCATCCCGCACCTGCGGATCGGGGCAAGGGGGCGGCGGCCACGCCCTGCACCCACGTGCTGCACCCACGCCGTGCCCCCTCGTACTGCCCCCGTGCATTGCCCCCACGCGTTGCCCTGAACTTCGCCCCCAGAGACCGAGCCCTCCATGCAGCCACGAGCGCGCAGGGACGGGGTGGGACCGTTCGGGGCCCCCGCACTCTGACGTGTCCACTGGCTCCTGGGTCTTCGGACTCCCCTCCTAGAAGCCCGAAGCGCTCTGGATATGCGCGGAGATCTGGCGCAGCAGAAGACGGACGGTTTTGGTGTGTGGTGCCTGGGTGCGGGTGGGGCCGTTTCCTTCTCTCCTATCCTTCTCTCGGCTACACGTAATTAAGAGTGACCCCAGGCAAGAGTGACCTTTGGTGAACGCCGTTCGGGGGCCGCGGGGAGGCCGAATCGGAGCGCGCAAGCCGCTGCTATCGCATCGCTTTCGACCATCTGGGGACCCAAGTGTGCCCGCACCAAAGGTCACTCCGGCGAAAGGTCACTCTTACAGTAGGGGCTGGGTCACAAGAAACCTTCTGAAACCCAACCCTGAACCCCAGGACGTCCATCGCTTTTCGCCGTGGGAACGCCACGCTTTCCGAAGCAGAACCATCGAATCCCAAGACACCAAAGGCATCCTGGAGGTAAGCAGGGTGTTTCTTGGCACGGGTCTCCACTGTAGAGGGGGGGAGGGGGAGGGGGAGGGGGAGGAGGACGAGGATGAGGAGGAGGAAGATGAGGAGGAGAAGGAGGAGGAGGAGGAGGAGGAGAAGGAGGAGGAGGAGGAGGAGGAGAAGGGTGAGGATGAGGATGAGGATGAGTATAGCCGATTCTCTCGCTCAGCGGCTCCTTGGGGCTCAAGCCTTCCTCGGGCCTCAAAGTCTGGAGAAGCTGCGCCTCCCGCGGGGAGGCCCGGGTGACGCAGCCGGCGCTGGGGATCGCGCCAGCTCGCCGCCAGGGGCCGCCGAGGTGGAACCGCTGGCCAGGCTTAGGTCGGGCATGTCCCCCTACAAGCGGATTTTGGAGGACAAATAAAAAGTTGTCAAAATATGCTCAAAAGTAGTCAGAAATTACTAGTAAAAAAGTGGTCCCCCGACTATTTTTTGACTAATTTTCGATTTTCCTCCTGTAGAGGGACATGCCCGACGTAAGGCCAGGCACGGCCAGCCAGTGTGGCGCCCCAGGCGAGAGGAAGAGGAGGAGGAGGTGGAGGAGGAGGAGAAGGAGAAGAAAAAGGAGGAGGAGGAGGACGAGGAGGAGGAGGAGGAGGAGGAGGAGGAGGAGGAGGAGGAGGAGGAGGAGTGGGAGAGGAGGAGGAGGAGGAGGAGGAGGAGAGCAGGAGCAGGAGCAGGAGCAGAGGGGAGGAGGAGGAGAGGAGGAGGAGGAGGAGGAGGAGGGAGGAGAGGAGGAGGAAGCGCCGTCAGGATCGTGCTCATGATGGCGGTCCTGGCGAATACCGGGGGAGTCCCCCGTCGACAAGGTGACACCCGATCGCCAGCTGGGGTCCCAGGGGAGGTTCCGCCTGTGGTGTGGGTGGGGCCCCAAGTCAGAATATCGCCACCCCAGGGTCCCAACGGGTCCCGGGCGGGGGGGGAGCGCCAACGGGGGTCTGGGGGGAAGTCCCGCCGTCAGGGTCGGCGGCATCGGCCGTAAGGCCTTCACAATATACACTTTCGGAGGTCCGCGCGGATTTCTTGGATCGGCGGGCCACTCCCTGGCGCGCGGAGCGTTCGCCGCCAGGGGAACCCCAGCGCAGATCCGAGCAATCCGCGCGGCGCTCCGAACGATCACTTTTTTGATATATATATATATATATATATATATACATATGTATATATATATATACATACCCTTCTTCGGACTTCCCTGGAACTGGCCTTCCTCCCGGAGCAATTTTTTGATAGTCCTGGGGCCCGAAACTGGTCTCCGGAGACCGATTTTTCAGAGAAACCTCCGACGCGATATTTCCGAGCCTCTGGAGGTTTGGGGACGTCGACGCGACACGAGCTTGCCGTCGCCATCTCGGCGGTGCACTGGGCGCGGTGGGACGCTGCTCAACCGAGGAGGGGGCGGCGAGCCGGGGGGGGGCGGCGTAACGTGCACCCTTTCGTGCCCCTTTGGGGTCTGGGGCCCCTTCAGGACCACCAAGGTGCACGGGAGCTGCACCATGGTAGGCGGCGCGCCCAAGGGGGAAGTGAGAAGGGGCGGGCCTTCTCAGAAGGCTCGGAAGTCCCCCGGCCTTCTGCGAAGATTGCTAAGCCTTCCCCGAACACACAGAAAACCTCTCAGAGGGCGAGAGGGCTTCTGAGAAGTCCCGCCGCCTTCTGAGAAGGCCTCCTCCTTCTCATTTCCCCCCCTCTCGCTCGCCGCCAAAATGGGGCGATCAATGGGGTGAGTCAAGAAAAAGGGGTCCCTAAGGGCTCCTTTATGCGGGCCTTCAGCGGCGTGCCCGAGCGACCCTTAACGGCCCCCTTTCTGCGACAGAGGGCCCCTTCAGGGGCCCCTCGTGCGATGGCCCTTTAGCGGGTGCCTGTCCGGCCCCTTGAGTAGGCAGAGAACGATGTCATGGTAAGATTGGCTCAGGATACGTTCCATGATTTCCCTTAAGTATCTAGCGGCCAGCCCGTGTGAAGGTTCGGAAATGTTAGAAATCTTGGAACCCTTAAAAATCTTGGAACGTATCACTATAATGTAGGGCGAGAGCGATATCATGATAGGATTGGCTCAAGGTGCGTTCCACGATTTCCAAAGTATCTAGCGGCGTAGCCGGTGCGGAACAACAGGAAATCCCACCAGCCCTCTGGGCGTCGGTGGTTTAGGGAATTTCCTCTTCCACCCCTCCTTCTTCCACTTCGGGGAGGGGTTTACCCCTCCCCTTACCCCCTCCCCTGGACCTGGACAAGGGGTTCCGCGAGTCGTCGGAGCGTCCAAAACGGCCTCGGCAAGGAAGCCAAAATCATTGATTTTACTATGGTTTTGGCACCATTTGGGCCTCTTGTGGGGGGGACGCTAATTGAACACCCCCCCTCCTGTGATCGATCTCACCCAAGATGGCTCAAAGAGGTAGCCAGGAAGCCCCAAGAGGCCCCCAGGATGCCCCCAAGAGGCTCCCAAGAGACCTCCAAGAGACCTCCAAGAGGCCCCAAGAGGCCCCCCAGAGGCACCCAAGACGCTCCAAGAGGCCTCGGCGACAATGCCAAAATCGTTGGTTTTACGATGGTTTTGGCTACATTTTGGCCTCCTGGGGGGGGGCACTGCTTCAGATGACTCCTGGGATAGCCAAAGATGATCTCCAAGATGGCTCAAGGTACCCCAAGATGCCTCAAGATGGCGCCCACGATGCTCCAAGAGGCCCCAAGACCGCTCCAAGACGGCTCCAAGTGGCCAAAGAGCTCCCCCAGGAGGCCCCGAAGAGGCCAAAATCCTCCCAAAACCTTGGGACAATCCATGTCTTTGGCTTTCTCGCCGAGGCCTCAAGATGGCTCCAAGATGGCCCAAGAGGGCTCCAAAAGTGCTCCCACGGCTCCCAAGAGCGCTTCAAGAAGGCCCCAAGAGGCGTCAAGGAGGCCCCAACAGGCGCCCAAGAGGCCTCCAAGAGGCCTTCAAAACACCCCCAAGAGGCCCCACGAAGCTCTCCGAGGCACCCAAGACGCTCTAAGAGGCGTCCGGGACCGCCAAGAGGCCCCCAAGACGCTCCAAGAAACCTCCACTGGGGGACCCTTCCTCTGTGTGCTGCCCGCTTCCCTGATCGAGGCAATTCCTCTGGGCATCGTTTCTGGATGGGCTGGTGGGGATTCTTTTGGTCGGCGGCTCCGAGGCGGCGGACAGGGAGCGGAAGGCGTCGTCTGGGCCAGCAGGCGAGGCTAATTAGCTACAACAAGCAACGCACCTGGCTGGTGGGGATTCGCGAAGCGTCAACAATTTGTGACATCCTGGAAACCGGGGAAATCCTGGAACGTATCTAGAAAAAGAAAAAACGGCATGAACAGAAACTTTTGGCGCTCCGCGCGGATTTGAGTTCTTGGATCCGCGCTGGACGCCCCTCCCTGTCGCGCGGGGCGCGCCAGGGGCGGGCGGCGCCCGATGCGCCGCCGGGGGGGGGGCGACAGCGCGGATCCAAAAAATCCGCGCGGAGCGCCGCACGTTTATTGAAGGGGCCCCAGGACACACAAATAAATACACACAAATAAAACTATCCCCTATATTTTCCCATATTTTCTGGGTTTCTGTATTCCCCCCCACTTCCCATATTTTCCCATATTTTCTGGGGAATCGCCGATTAATTGTGTCTGTGTGTTTCTTTCCCTCCTGATTTATGTTTATGGCATCTTGTCTTCTTCGTCTGACGGGGGCCTTCGGCGGCGTGCCGGCGGCAGCGCCGTCCCCCCGCGAGCCCCGCGGCTCGTCCTCGGGCAGCAGCGGGGGTGCGGGCGGCTCTCTCCTCGCTCCTCGCTCCTCCCGCTCTCCCAACTCGTGATCCTCCTCCTTCCTGCTCCTCCTCCTTCTCCCTCCTCCCTCCTGCCTGCGCAGGCCAGCCGCAGCGGCTCGCGCCCGAGCTGGCGGCCGCCGCTCCTACCGCCGCGGGCGTGCCCGCCGCCGCGTCTGATGATGACGCCGCCGCTGAGGCTCCAGCGGCTGGAGGCGCTCGCGCTTCTGGCGGCCCTGCCTCGGAGGAGCTGCGCGGGCGCGCCGCCGAGGCCCGTCGTGCCAAGAGGGAACAAAACCGCGCCCGCCGCCCCGCGGGCCCACCTCGCCTCGTCGAGGCCCCCGCCCGCCAGCAAGCCGTCAGCCACCGCGGCCGTGGCGCCGAGCCTCCCGAGCCCGCAGGCCGCGCGCGCGCGTCGCGGAGGAGGTGGGCGATGCGAGGGCTGCGGCGGCCGCCCGGCGCCCCAGGCACAGTCGCGACCGCAGTCCAGGGAGACCTGGCGGTTTCGAGGTGGTCGGAGGGGGCGACGCGCTCGAGCCCACGGATGATGCATCGGCACCGTCGACGCTGGGGTGATGGTTCGCGACGGTCAAGCTGAGGGGGGGTGAGATGCCAGCGCTATCTCACAGCTTGCCCGAGGCTGTCAGCACACCCGACGCGAACATGCCACCTTTTGTTCGGAGGGACTCTGAACCGCGTTGCCCTGTCTGCCCTCTGCCAGACTGCAGCTCTCTGGTCAGGCGTCTTTGTCAGCCCTGGCCCGGCAGTCACACTCTCACTCCTCTCTTCCTTGGGCCCCATCAGGGCCCAGAGCATTGCCTATTTCAACCCTACCTTCACAGCAGTACGGTCGAATTTTTCGAAACCCACGGAGCCCCCCCTTCCCGAGGACTCTCAGCCTGTCAGGTTCGAGATTCATACGGCTGGTTCTGGAGGATCCCGCTCTAAGAATGTTGGTTGACCACCGTCTTGGGCTTGGGTTTTACTTTCACTTACGCGTAACAAACACTATGTATGCCATGGGTACCTGTGTGGAGTAGATCCCGCTCTCTCCGACGCCGTTGCCGGTGTCTCTGGTGCCACCGAATTCCAAGCCGCCCTGTGGCTTGTGCTATGACTACTGCAAGCGCCTGAGTATTTCCGCTCCCGACCACTGGTGGTCTACACGGATAGCCTATTGGTGGTCAAATTGGCCGAGGGCGGAACCATGTATATATATATATAGTTCCTGTGGTGACCTCCCCGAGCTCTTTGATGGGGCCCTCAAGTTATTGAGACGTTACGTATCATTATCTTGGAAACGCGTCCTGGGACACAATGCAGACCCGCTCAACGAGCTTGCAGATACTTTGCACGCCTAGCCCCCATGGGACTAGCACCAGTCGTGGACGACGATTGGCAGCCGTGGTCAGCGCTACAGTCTTGTGCCGCCGCCTTCCCGTGGATGCGGTTATGCACCAACGCCAACGTCGGTCATGGGGTGTATCCGAATTCTCGAGCTCCGTGCCGCGTTCTCGCCACGCGCTGGTCCCAGCTCGGAACGCGAGCCATCGATTCCGTCCCAATCAGGTTTGCGACCTTGTGTCAGGTTGGCGGTAGCCAATGTGCTCACCCTGCGGCCCCGCAAGAAGGCTGGACGCGCGCATGGCTCCACTCGTATTCGCTGCCGTTATCAAGACGCTGCTGGGCTTGATCTCCCTGGCCGCATGCTGCGTTAGAGACTGGCTTGCGCAGGGGCGCATGGGCTCCCGCAGGTGAATACATGGTCGTCACGCCGTCGGCAGATGCTCGTGGTATGGGTGGTGTGTCTCTGTGGGTACATGCACAACATGAGTATACCCGTGGTCATGTACTTGCGCGTCGTCACATACGTGTAATCACCTATTCGGCACGACGCCTGCTTGTGGCTATCCGTGCGCCATTCTTGTGCATCGATGTGCTCGTTGCTCGCGCGCCGCACTCACGACGACCAGTTGAGGATATCAATTCATTGTGGGGTGAGATCGAGAGGGGCATCCATCAGCGAGCCCAGCGGGCCCCCCTTTCTTGTCTCGTGGACGCTAACGTGTCAGTGGGTTCACAGGTCTCAGATCATGTTGGCGATGTGGCTGCAGAGCCCGAGACCCCTGCGGGTCAACGATTTCACAACTTCCTTCGGTCCACCAAACAATGCGCGCAATCGACGTTTGTGCCGTCCGCTTCTGGGGTCCACGGTACATGGCTGGCGCCCAGCCAACAAGGGCTTGACCCCCAACGCCGCATAGACTACATCACGATACCAGCCGGTCAACTTAATGCCGTCGTGCAGCAGAAAGTTGCACTTGGGAGAAACTTAAGCTCGATGAGGCGATGCTCACCGACCCCGCCTGTCAGGAGGCCTTTTTGGATGCCCTGCGGCTGGTGCCCCAACCCGCGTTCACCACCCATCCCGATGGCCATGCCGAGCACCTCAACGCTCACCTCCTATCAGGCGGCCAAGTGTGCCTTCCCGCCTAATGAGACTGTTAGTGGTCGCGCGTCACGAAACAGTTGGATCGACGCAGGGCCTTACGGGCTCCCCGCGCGCGGTTGCCATTATTCTTGGTATGCGTCTTCACGGCTTGGGCCTCCGACGGGGCCCTGGAAAGTGAGTGGTACTGTTTTCGTACAGTGCGTTGGCGACGCGTGTGCCGTGACGGTCCTTCGCGCTCCCCCATCCTGCAGGCGCGCCGACAGATCGCAACAGCGGCTGATCGACTGATGGATGCCGCCCTGCCCTTCACACGCCCGCCGCAGACCCCTGCAGGAGGTCGCGCCATCCCGCTGTTCCTTCAGTCCCACCTAGCAGGTTTGCGATTCCCAAGCCGACTCCCGACTGCCTGGGAACTGGGGGTGGCCGCACTCGGCTACTACTTCTGCTTATCAACGGTTCTGGATCACTACCATGCGTGGAGCGGTTTCTTCTGGGCATCGAGTGACGTTTTCTTGGAAGCCGCGACATATGCTGTGCAGCAATCCACGGGGCAAGATTCGGCTTCGCACTGTGCCAACATTTCCAAGGGAGTGACATCAGCCTGGGACAGACGGCAGTTTGCATATACCTACGCTACATTGCGTCGGATCGGCGCAAGGTCTAGACGACGACGCATGACGCGCGCCTTCCCTGCTCTGCAAGATGTCAGTGGTCAGGCGTTGGTCTCCGAAAAAGCTGTGGCACAGCGGTGGCAGCAACACTTTGCCGCCTTAGAGCTCGCCGCTACGGTGCCCATGGAGGATCTTCCGCATATCGCTGCATACTTCGCCCGGTAGCCCTATCAGGATATGCCCAGTCAGCCAGTGTAGCTGTCCTCCGTGCCCTCTCTTGCTGACTTTCAGTGGTCCTGCCGACAGGCCCGACGGTCCGCCCCTGGGTGCGATGGGAACCCCTGACTGCCTCCTGGAAGAATGTCCTGCAGCGATTGCCGAGTTCTACTACGCACTCCAGTTGAAATTCTCACTCGCATTTGTTGAACCCGTCAATGGAAACGCGGCTTCTATCGGGACCTAATCAAGTCTGGCCTTTCCGACCCCACCCAGTGCACCAGTTCCTGGTCGATTCTGGTATCGTCTCAGATGGGCAAGGCGTCCCGCCGCTGCATGCGCGAGCGTATGGAAACCCAATTCGGAGGGCTCCCCGGACGCGGTGCCGCGCATGCCTCCATCATCCTGCGCACGGCCCAGTCCCTGGCCAAAAAGGGCAACGTATCTTTCGGCGCGCTTTTCCTGGACGTCGTACAGGCCTTCTACAGGGCCATGGGGGAATTAGTGGTCAAGGCACATCGGGATCCGGACCTGGGCGATGCTACTATCGCCACCGTCGCACGGGCTGCAGGGCCCCCGCCCGACGCCATGCACCGACGCGCCGACCGACTCCGATCTTAGACCCCAGCCCTCGCCCGCTCCGACCTCGACCCTCGCGTCGTCGCCCAGGCCGAGCAGTGCTATTTAGCACCGTGGTTTGCGCGTGAGGGTTCCGGCCTGGCGTCGATGCCCCAGCGATCATTTTTCCCGGGCCAACCGCTCGCAAACGTTCTCTTCGAGCTACAGATGGCTGGTTGCATGGGCGACGTCCGACAGCAGCTTTCTGACGAGGGCCACCGCGCCCCCTGCCCTGCCCTGCGGGGCGCAGTCTTGCAGCGTTCCTGTCAGAGGAAGGAGGGTCAGAGGTGTCACTCACAGATATTTCATATGCAGACGATGGTGCAGTCATCCTTCTCATGCCCGCGCTGTTTCTGTGCGACGGGCTCAGCCGAGCCATAGTTTTGGTAGCTGAAGCTTTCGCCGCCCGGGGACATCTGCTGAGCCTTGGACCTACCAGAACAGCAGCGCTTATCATGTGGCGCGGTCCTGGGCCCAAAGCCGCGCGCCACGTGGCGTGGCGCGAACGAGGAGGCACTATCCTGGGCGATTCCGATATCCTTGGGACGATCAAGGCACCCATCGTGCATGGCGACATCAATTTGGGATCGGCTTTCGATGCGGGCGCGGTGATGTTGCCAGAGATTCGATATCGTGCCTCCTCCTCTGCTGCTTCCCTCCAAGTGCTACGACGATGTGTCTTTGCGTCCGACGACGTCGACCTCGTGCCGTCTTGTACTCGCAGACAGTCTTGCAGCTGCGCGTGTCAGTTACCGTGAGGACACATCCCAGGTTTCCGATGCTTTGGTCCTTGCCAGACTCCGACGGCCCGACCCCGCCACCCTGGTCCGTGCAGCCCGTTTGAGGCTGCTGGGGCCACTGGTCCACGCAGGCCCTCGGTTGGCCTTCGCGGTGATCGCAGCTGAGTGGAAAGCCCTCGACTACGACTCGGTGCACCAACGGCGAACCGCCATGGGACTCTGCAGTACGATCTACAGTGGCTGCAAGAACCTGCGCGAGGTTGCGCCGATCTCCCCGACCCCGCCGCCGATTCCGGTGCATGGGAGACGTTCGTGCAACGCAGTCAACCAACGTGGAAACGGGC